AAGTATAGCTGTCAATGGACCTCAGTCTAAGGGCAACTGGAAAATGGAGTGGCAGTGTTACATAGCTTTAAAGAAATACTGAGAAGGCCGTCTGGTCTTTTTCCCATTCATGAAATTGGCTGAAGTGATGATGCCTTTTTGAGAAAGGGTATAGAGGAAAGCAATAAGAACAACTGATGGCTCTAGAAAGCATGCATTTCTTGGGCAGGAATTCTTGTCTGGACTTATCTAATGTTTTGAAAGGTATAGACCAGAGAAAGCGACCTTTTTCAGATTGTATGCGTTAGTCATGCACGTTTTGACTTTGCCTCTGATCTCATTCACACGCAAGGAAGAATCAGGGAACAACTTCGTGACAATTGAGTTATATTGCGATGAAACCAAAGAGCAATGAGGACACCTGTTTGCTCTCCTCTTCAGTTGCTTCAGGCTGTGACTATTCTGATTCGAAATGCAAACTCACACTGTTGCTTGGGAAGGTTAAAATAAACTAACACAAACTCACGAAGGAAGTATCAACCCGAGCAATAAATGCATGTCGTCAATGCATGTTTGTGGAATCCAAGGACAGTTGACTGGGCTACCCACGGGCCACTCAACTGAGCATCTCTGATCAAAACCCACAGCCTCTTGCCTAGGTACAGTGTTATAACAATGGGTGGGCAAGCAGGGCCCTAGACTTGAGTGCTGTCTGGTGGGGGGGTGCCAAAATGAAGCTATGGGGGTGCCTCACCATCCCTGCTGGAGCTCCACATGCATCAGGAGCTCACCAGCTGGTCAACACAGGATCTGGCTGGGGTCCCCAATTTTGCACAGCTCTGAAGCCCCAGCCCCCAGCCCTGGAGGTTGGGGAGGGAAAGGGTGAACAGCAGCAGCGCTCACCCCTGGGGCTCTGAAGCTCTGTGAAAGCAGGGGCTCAAGGCTGAGACTGTGCTGAACAGCTGTTGAGCTCAGCACTCACAGCACATGTGGACCTCAGGCAGGAGCTGAGCTGACATGCTAGTGAGCTCCAATAGCTCTCTCCATATGCAGTGCACAGCCATGGTTGGGTACATCTATGCCATTGCACTACCCTGAATCCATCTCTGGGTGGAGGCTGCAATTAGAGTCCATTTCAGCAACAGCAATATAGAGACTCAAGAATGATAAACACCGTTAAAAAGTGAAATCACCTTCCAGATGCAGGTTTAACCCCTGTAGTGCCCCACAGAGGCACTGATTGAGTGCATTAAACCAGGAAAATTAGAAGGATATTTAAGATATCCCCCTCCCCCCGCCTCGACTAAAGACCGTGTAGCTTGATTATCCGATCGTACCATGGCTTAGAAATGGTAGCATGTGCAGGCCTCTTCTATCCCTCTGGCTCCTGAGCACAAGTTATTAGAGAGAGTGGGTAATTAATCCAAGCAGAAATAGTCATGCTGAATATTTCTCCTTTTTGTATGATGCCCTGGTCTACTGTGATGTCTGCAAACTTTCCCCTGCTACCATAGATGCATCCCTCTGTATTTAATGTACAGGCTAGTCCCCACTACTTATAGCAGTCTGGGTGGGCTAACAGTTATATGCCTGCTAAATGAGGTGAACGGTAAAACTAAGTTAATACTAGCAACAAAACTAATAAGAACATCAATTCTGTAGCTGGTATTAGGGGAGACACTAACAAGAACAGCTGAGTCTGCAAAAATAGCCCCTCTTCCATGGTAAACAGGGCCTAAGTAGTGTCCTTATCATTGACCTCTACCTGGATGGAAAACGGCTAGTGAGATTTACCCAATATAAATAGCTGCTAATATTAGCAATGGGTGTTTTAAATGCTGCAGACTACTGTGCCAGTCCCAAACATATCCCTTTAAATATTTGTTTAGCTTGGCAGATAAGGGAGCAATATACTCAGTGTCCCTCATAAGCAACAAAAGGAGATGGGTTTCTAGCTCTCTGCCAAGCATTTGGACAACTGTTAAGTTGAACACTCACTAAAACAGAGTTTCTTTTGACGCACATTTGGGGAGATTTTTGCCATGTTGTAAAATATTCTGCATGTTTTCCTGTGGCAGCCTAAGGGATGTGGGTAATACCACAGGGAGGGAGACTGCCCAGTGATAGCTTATCATTTTCATTTGAGAAAAACCTAGAATGGAGCAAGTTTAAAGCAAGACGGCTGAGACACGTATGCCAATTCCATCCCTAGGAGAATATTATTAGTTTAATCTGGTTTCTGTCTCCACTTTGTAGCTTGGTCAGCAGCCCCTGTCATCACTGCAAAGTCCACACCAGGACTTTTGGAGACCTAGGTGATGAAACTGGTCAGTGCAGTAAGGGTGTTAGGGAGCTAGAGAGAACGGCATGGTCTATCTGTGTCCGGCAGTCTAGGTAAAGATTCCCCTTTGTAATCACAATGCACAAACTAAGTCTATTCCATCTCGGAGGAAAGGCAGCAAGAGGGCACAGCAGCCCCCCTGGCTCTCCAGGGACCTAGCAGACCTCCTGAGGCTAAAAAGAAAGGCCTACAAAGGATGGAGGATGGGAGTCACCTCCAAGGAGGATTATTCTGCACTGGTCCGGTCCTGTAGGGAGCAGACCAGGAAAGCCAAGGCTGCAACTGAACTCCAACTAGCTTTGAGCATCAAGGACAATAAAAAGTCCTTTTTCAGATATGTGGGGAGCCGGAGGAAAAGCAGAGGCAACATTGGACCCCTGCTGAGCCAGATGGGGCAACTGACAACTGACGCCCAGGAAAAAGCCAACCTATTAAATAGGTACTTTGCGTCAGTCTTGCATCAGTCCCATGGGACGCCCATGCCCGCTACAGGGCCGGGAAGTCCGGGTGAGGGTGATCCCCTGCCCTCCATTAATGCTGACTTTGTGAAGGAACATCTTGAGAAGCTGGATACCTTCAAGTCAGCCGGCCCTGACAATCTTCACCCCAGGGTACTCAAGGAGCGGGCGAGCATCATAGCCCAGCCTCTAGCACGGATCTTTGAAAACTCTTGGCGCTCTGGTGTAGTGCCCGAAGACTGGAAGAAGGCCAATGTGGTGCCTATCTTCAAGAAAGGGAGGAAAGTGGATCCGGCTAACTATAGGCCCATCAGCCTGACTTCTATCCCGGGGAAGATCTTAGAAAAGTTTATTAAAGAGGCCATCCTTAATGGACTGGCCGACGCCAACATCTTAAGGGATAGCCAGCACGGGTTTGTTGCGGGTAGGTCTTGCTTGACCAATCTCATTTCCTTCTACGACCAGGTGACCTATCACCTGGACAAGGGAGAAGAGATTGATGTCATATATCTTGACTTCAAAAAAGCCTTCGATCTGGTGTCCCATGATCGCCTCTTGGAGAAACTGGCCAATTGTCGCCTTGGGTCCTCCACGATCCACTGGCTGGAAAATTGGCTCCGGGGTCGGACCCAGAGGGTAGTAATCGATGGAAGTCACTCATCGTGGTGTCCTGTGACCAGTGGGGTCCCCCAAGGCTCTGTCCTTGGACCCATACTGTTCAACATCTTCATTAATGATGTGGACACTGGAGTCAGAAGCGATCAGAACTGGCCAAGTTCGCCGATGACACCAAACTTTGGGGCAAAGCATCCACACCAGAAGACAGGCAGGTTATCCAGGCTGACCTGGACAGGCTCAGCAAGTGGGCGGACGAGAATCTGATGGTGTTCAACGCCGATAAATGCAAGGTTCTCCACCTTGGGAAAAAAAACCCGCAGCATCCTTATAGGCTCGGCAGTGCTATGTTGGCTAGCACTATGGAAGAAAGAGACTTGGGGGTCATCATTGACCACAAGATGAACATGAGCCTGCAATGCGATGCGGCGGCTAGTAAAGCGACCAAAACGCTGGCTTGCATCCATAGATGCTTCTCAAGCAAATCCCGGGACGTCATTCTCCCCCTGTACTCGGCCTTAGTGAGGCCGCAGCTGGAGTACTGTGTCCAGTTTTGGGCTCCACAATTCAAAAAGGATGTGGAGAAGCTTGAGAGAGTCCAGAGAAGAGCCACGCGCATGATCAGAGGTCAGGGAAGCAGACCCTACGATGACAGGCTGAGAGCCCTGGGGCTCTTTAGCCTGAAAAAGCGCAGGCTCAGGGGTGATCTGACGGCCACCTACAAGTTTATCGGGGGGACCACCAGTATCTGGGGGAACGTTTGTTCACCAGAGCGCCCCAAGGGATGACGAGGTCAAATGGTCACAAACTACTTCAAGGTCGTTTCAGGCTGGACATAAGGAAGAATTTCTTTACTGTCCAAGCCCCCAAGGTCTGGAACAGCCTGCCACCGGAGGTGGTTCAAGCGCCTTCATTGAACACCTTCAAGATGAAACTGGATGCTTATCTTGCTGGGATCCTATGACCCCAGCTGACTTCCTGCCCTTTGGGCAGGGGGCTGGACTCGATGATCTTCCGAGGTCCCTTCCAGCCCTGATGTCTATGAAATCTATTAAATCTATGAAATCACAAAAGCTCAGCCCTTTTTTACTGCACATGACACTGGGCTGAACCAGAGCCCTTCATCCAAACACTGCCCAATCTGTGGGGGAGCTCAAGCCTTGCAGCACAGACCCATTTCTACTGAAAGCCAAGATGAAAAGAGTGGGAGGAACTCCGGCATTAGGAAAGAAGAAAGAAAACTGCTCTCTTCACAAACCCTAATTTCCCTGCCAAAGGTCCCAAGAGATCAGGTCCTTTTGTGCATGGACTCTGCCAATTAAGGAGAACATGCCTCTAGCACACTGGCATAGCTGCTGGAAGGATCTTGCAAAAGTCAGGCCTCTGTATTAATTCATCAGTTGCAGAGGCAGCCAGAAAGGATGCCCAGTAATCCCCAGATATGGGAGTGGATGCCATGGGATGGCCTGATACCTCAGAGAAGGGTAAGTGCGAATTATTATGAGTGCATTTGGACAGAATAATTTGACAAGAAACACACCATGCAGCAGCACAGAGATTTGTAGTCAGCTGCCAGGAACTGGGAACACAGGAAACATGCAAATATGTAGTTTAAAAACACACCTGTATTTGGCTTCTTTTTTTTTTTGGAGGGTATGTTCCGAGTCTGTTGGTTTTTTTTTTAAAGAAAGCAATAAGGAGCTCAAGTTAAAAGTGTATCCAATAAGGCCACATGATGAGTTTATCAGAGTGCAGGGATCCACCAAGGAGAAGCATCGAGTTATCTCACAGCCAAGGCATTGTGCAGGACCAGGAGGCCAGCTGGGTCTGCTCCACCTTAGAGGTCCATGTCTGTGCTGCCTGACGAAGTCTTGAGCGGAACGGAATCAAACCCATCTGATGTCCTCTGGAAACAGCAGTGGACAGTGACTGTCAGTAAGCTTAATTCAGTGGATCTTACCTGTCCCCATACTTCCAGCCCACCTAACCAGGACTCACTCTCCCTTAGCACTTAGTTGCATCACAGTAACAGACTGAAGAACCCAAATGATGGACCAGGACCCTTTGGCTCTAGGTACCGTATAGACACAGAACAAGGCCTGGCCCCTGCCCCCAGCAGCAAAGGGAATATTTGAATGTGATTTTTAGTCAGTTGCTTCCCATAGCAGGGTAGCTTGGGGGGGTTCTTTTTCTTTTTTTAGCTTCTTGGTCCTTTACCCACTGGATGAAGGGCAGAGTGGTTGTGACTTCTGGATACTAGTTCAGGACACCTAGGTGGAGAACCCTGGTTAAAACAGAATTTATCTCAGTCTGTGTGCGCATAAACCATGGGGCTGTTTTATGATAAAGAGCAACAGGGCAGACTTTCATTTCCCTTTCCCAGACCCACAACAGCTCCAGCAGAGGGGTTCAATATCATCTCCATTTTAGGGATGGGGACACTGAGGCACAGAGAAGGGAACTGAGAGTAAGTCAGCTACAGGACTGGGAGCAGAATGAAGGACTACTCAGCTCCTGGCTCTATAATCTTTTATTATTTGCATTTTGGTAAGGTGTAAAGGCCTCAAGCAAAACTGGGCACTCCTTATACTTGGGCATTCCTTGTACTCAGCCTTACAGTGTTTAATTTAAATAGGCAGAGGATGGGAGGGAAAAAGGACTCGCTCAGGGGACACAGACAGGTCAGACCCAAAGGCTGTTCAAAGCCCTGATTATTGGACCCTGCTGCCTTCTAATCCTCTTCACAGTGCATCCACAGACAATGGGTTTGATCCTTAGAGCAGGGGCTGAGCAGACACCCCATACCTTATGTCTTGTGTTATGTGTCTCTATCTACCTGAAAGCTCCCACCTCTTCTTATTTTATTGAGAGCAGCCCTATAGCCAAAGTCTTGCAAAGCCCGACTGTAGCTCTGCATAACCTAAGGGAAAATAAACATTAACATCTCTCAGCAGTTGCAGCAACAGTCTGAAAGGGGGGCAGCAGGGGCAGGTGGGGAACTCCAGCATCAAAAGGGAATTCGGATACACGGGTCCCACGCCAACCCAGGGTTAGAGGTTTTTGCTACACTGGTCTGTAGCACTTCATGGTGACTAACCAAAGGCAGTTCATGTCAGAGCAGTAAGAACTGCAATCATTCTGCTTGCTGTATGACAGAGGCAGGTCTGAGGAGGATTAGCACAACTGAAGAAGATGACCAGTGTTATTAGCCCTCCACTGCCATATTCTAGCCTGGCAAATTTGCTCTGGTATTGAGCTAATGTCACGTGCGGTATGCAGGGAAATCTACACGGGTACGTCAGAAGGAGAGGATACCGTGTGTAACATTACCCCCTACTGGATAGATGGAAGAGAATTTTCTCAGCATCTTGGGGATGAAAAAAGACTCCAATTCTATTTTAAAAATTCAGCAGTAAGGAACGCTGGAGCTAGGAAGATCTGGGGAAGAGAAAACCCAGGTCTAGCCAACTTTCAGGATATAGATCCCAGGAGAGCCACATGATGTCCAGAAGGAGGTTATATTTGCACTATTACCCTTCTGTACAAATGCCGCAACAGCCAAGGACATTCCCCCAGGTATGCTCGGGTCTAAAGTTCCAAAACCCTTTGTGTGGCTTCTCCTTCCCTCCTGCCCCATTTAGTTGCCTTTGTTTTTGTATTTCTGGCAAGCTGGTTTGAGCACTGAAGTACAGAGCTAAGTGACCTGCAGCCTTTGTCCTGCAACTCTGTGGTCAAAACAGTGACATTTTCCACAAGGTAGAAGAATCAAAAAAAGTGGATCCAAACACTAGGTGCCTGATATAGGTAAGCAGCATTGGTTGTAGCCACCAACCAGCTGTTATGGGGAAAGAACAAACTCCCACCTTGGTAGTGAAGGACTTTATCTTGCCAAAGAGAGACTTCTTGCTTGTGAATATTAGATCATCTTCTGCATCTTCTCCCTCCATAATGGCACAACTGTCAGGAGCTGGCAACTCGCTGTCCTTTGTGGTAGCGTTCATCACAAGCTTAGAGTATTTATACTCCAACCTTCAAAGGAAGAAACAATACCATTTGTGGAGTAAAGCCCTAAAAGGCAGGTCCCAGCAAAGCTATGTATACAAAGGATCTCATGTGCTTTATAAGCCTGATTTTCATTCAGTGGGAAATATATGGGGGCAAAATGTGGGGCTACAGACAAGACTTGGCACTCGTCCCACTATGGCAGGTCTGGCAGAGGTACGGCTGCTCTCTGGATGTGGCAGCACTGCCTGGCAGCTCCGGTTGCCCCTATGGCAAGGTTTCAAGGCAGCCTGGCTGGGATGTGCTGCATGTCCTCCCCACAGCTCCATGCCGTGGCAGGTAAGCAGCTGCATCAGCTATTTGGGAGCACTGGGAGGCAGCAGCAGAAGCCCAGAAGACTTGACATAGGAGCAGAAGCAAATCAGGGCATGGGAAGTGAGTGAGTGACTGTGCAGACTTCAGCAGAGAAGCTGATTTCTTCCAAAGAGCAACTCTGGCAGGGATTTGCTTCTTGCTTAGTCTGCCTCTGCCAGAGACCCATATCCAGAGGGCTTTCTGTGGCAGGAATGGTTACTACTTGTTATCAAGCCAAAACATCTGGCCACGTGGCCTCTCTGGCTACTTCAGTAAATCACTAATAACTACACAGCAAAGGTTACTTCTCCCTATCGCTCCAGTGCTGGTAGCTATTCTGTCATCAAGGACTTATCTCCTGAAGTTGGGCCACTTTGTGCAAGGATCCCAGGAGCAATCCCAAACTAAACAAGCTCAAAGGGAGCCAGGTGTGAGGGGTCTCCAAAAGAGAGGCAGGAGGTTGGTTGAAAGGGGCACAGAAGGGGGAGTCCATACTGATTCTACTTGTACTGCCTGTGGACACAGCAATGTAACAGAGGCCGGAAGCTACTCACTTTTGGTTTTTCTTCCAGAAGTAACAGGTCATGACGGTCAGCAGCACAGCAGCACAGGTACCGGCTGAGATGCCAACTTTGAGCCAGAAATCCATGGTTTTGCAGATGCTGACTGTCTGTTCTGGGAGGAGACTGCCTCCTGTGCAAAGCTTTGGCTCCCGCCACACATACGTGGTTCTCTACAGAAGTAAAAGCAGCCAAGTCCTTCCGTTACTCTCACAGTATATCTTGACAGACTATGGGCACAGCTGGGATTTGAAAGCAATGCTGTAGCACCAATACCACATTTAAGGATGGTTCCTCCTGTAGGGGTTAGGCAGTGTAGCAATAGCCCCATCTGTTGAACTAGCCCTTCGCTCCCTGGCAGTTCTACCTAGGCATTGTCCACTGCTTCCTCAGAGTCATCTGCAACTGAGATGCTTTTTGGCAGAAGCCTTACCCACCCTGAGGCCATGACTGGGCAATGTCTCTGCTTCCTAGGAATTTGGAGGGAATTTCACAAGGTATTGTGGGACCCTAGCCTCTTCTGCAAACCCTTTAGGCCAGGGGGTGACAGGCCAAAATAAAGCAGCTGGATCCAAAGGCAGGCCACCACTTGTGACCCAGTCACTGCCACTGCAACTCCAAGATGCCCGCCCCAGAACTCCCTGCTCTGTGCCAACAGTTCTCCTACCCCCTACTGCAGCTGCTGCCACTGCTACCCCTCACCCTGGTTCCTATCACCACTGACTGCAGCCAGAGACACATTCGGTGATGAGAGGAGTGAGGACAGGGTACACAAGGGAGGGCAGGGATGGAGGCAGACAGCACTGCAAAAAGACTATTCGGGGTGGAGGAACACTATTGCACCTTTCTCCCCAGCTGCAGAATTACTACCAATGTCCTGGCTCTGCCAGCTGGATGCAATTGCTTGAAAGGCTGGATCTGGCCAGTGAGCCATCGGTGGCCAACCATTCCTGCCATTCCAGGGTCCCAGAAGACCTGCTGGGATCTCCCACAAGCTGCTACTTTAGGGAACTGTGGAACAGCTACCCCAAGGGTGTGTGACCATGATGCAAGTATGGATGCAAGGTACCTGAAACAGCGCGGTGAGTATGGACACCTTGGCTTTGTTAAAGCTTATATTGGTTTCATAGATTTCATAGACATCAGGGCTGGAAGGGACCTCGGAAGATCATCGAGTCCAGCCCCCTGCCCAAAGGGCAGGAAGTCAGCTGGGGTCATAGGATCCCAGCAAGATAAGCATCCAGTTTCATCTTGAAGGTGTTCAATGAAGGCGCTTGAACCACCTCCGGTGCCAGGCTGTTCCAGACCTTGGGGGCTTGGACAGTAAAGAAATTCTTCCTTATGTCCAGCCTGAAACGGTCTTGAAGTAGTTTGTGACCATTCGACCTCGTCATCCCTTGGGGCGCTCTGGTGAACAAACGTTCCCCCAGATGCTGGTGGTCACCCCTGATAAACTTGTAGGTGGCCATCAGATCACCCCTGAGCCTGCGCTTTTTCAGGCTAAAGAGCCCCAGGGCTCTCAGCCTGTCATCGTAGGGTCTGCTTCCCTGACCTCTGATCATGCGCGTGGCTCTTCTCTGGACTCTCTCAAGCTTCTCCACATCCTTTTTGAATTGTGGAGCCCAAAACTGGACACAGTACTCCAGCTGCGGCCTCACTAAGGCCGAGTACAGGGGGAGAATGACGTCCCGGGATTTGCTTGAGAAGCATCTATGGATGCAAGCCAGCGTTTTGGTCGCTTTACTAGCCGCCGCATCGCATTGCAGGCTCATGTTCATCTTGTGGTCAATGATGACCCCCAAGTCTCTTTCTTCCATAGTGCTAGCCAACATAGCACTGCCGAGCCTATAAGGATGCTGCGGGTTTTTTTTCCCAAGGTGGAGAACCTTGCATTTATCGCATCAGCTCAAATCAATAGCCACTCACTTCCACACTCATTTTTAGGTCATGGTCTTAGAAGACAAAGCTCCATGGCTTTGAGTGCCTACCTGAATCCCACCAACACAGGCACTAACAATGGCACGGTAATCGTAAGCTGAGCAGAGTGGGCAGGCTTCAGCAGTCTCCCACAGAAAATGGAAGGTACACCCATCACAGGTTCCATCAGAGCACTTCCTGTCAGAAGAAAGGAGGAGGATTACCCTTAGCACTCAGCCAGCACATCACACATGGATTAACTTACAGGAAAGGGCAGCCTGGTGAGTCTCTAGGCCAATTATGATGCTGAAGCCAGACAGTGCACCAGCAGAGCTTCAGCAAAAGTCAAAATGAGAGGTGCTCCGCACTCCTGAATTAAAAAAAACAAACTTCTGGGCCTCACTCTGGCCACCTGAACTCAGTATTCGCTTATGATAATGAAGCTATTTCTGGGTGATTCAGGATCCCATATTATTCCCACAGGGGCAGGCTTGGAGAGGAACCGTGACCTTGCCCCACCCCTCTTCATGCCCAGTAAGGGAAAGTGCATGATATTCAGCAACTGGGTTTACAACATTGCATTTATTTATGATGGAACAGAGCACACTACAGCAGATACGGATGATGCCAGAGGAGAAGGGAGAGAGACGGGGAGATGAGACCAGAGGCAGGTGGCAGCCTGTGGAAAGCCTCTAGGGAAACCAGGGAGGTGCACAGGCCCCAGACTGCTTCTAGCAGAATCCCCAGCAGCTTTGTGAGGCCTTCAGGACAAGGGCCAGTGTGTGTACAAGCAGAAGCCAGCTGGCTTGTGTCAAGTCTCGTCTTCATCCACACTCCCAGCTTAAAAAGCTCCTGTGGGTTGAGTGAAGTCGCAAAAGCCAGCTGCTCTGCAAAGGCCGCAGGCCTAGCGAGACAAGGAACTGCTTCTCCTTCCTTTCTGAGGAAGCAGTTGTCCTGGTGCTGCATGCAGGGAAACCCCTCCAGGCCCTTTGACTTCCATTTATCCAGCCCAAACCATCCTGGGATCGAAGCATCATTCTCCATCAGCAAGACCTTGTGACAGAGAAGGCTAAACCTGGCCTGAGACACTTCTACTCTATGGTCTGTTTGATGGTCTCAGCATGAAGAGAGAGGAAGTAACTATGGTCCACAGCATGCAACACTCCTGCTTTAGCCAAGCTGTTCAACACCATCACCAAGGACGGCACATGTGGTTTCAGGTGGCCATTGGCCAAAATTTTAACCCAGCTCGAAGTGGGCATACATGCACTATGGTGGTTAAGCATGTAAGAAGCATATATCCTGGCATCCTGTGTATATTATGGCTCCTGCTCTCATTTGCAACATCAGTCCTGGTGACTTTCAGGAGGTCCATTTTCTCAGAATCAAGGCAACTTGCAATACGCTCCATCGCATGCCAGGAGGCCATGGCCCTCCACTAGCCGGTAAGGTGCCAGTACCACCCTGACACTGGCAACCTGAGGGCACTTGGCCTACCAAGAGGCCTGATGAAAACAACTGCATCTGGAGGGAGAGGCAGCCCTTCCAGCATGCTGCTTTATCTGCATCATTCAGAAAAAAGGGTGATCATTTCTACCTTGGCATGGAGAGTGTTCCCGAGCCGGTCTTCAGAGGGTTGCAGCGCATGCGGATGGCAGTGGCCCTTCCAGAATTACATGACTGAGTCACATCATTAGATCTGCCCATTAAGGAAATAAACAGAGCCTTTGGTATCATCCTACTATCCAGCACATCCCACCTGTACGTACCAACGCACCTGACTAGCGGAAAGGTCCTTGTCCTATGATTGTATCTGGTTCATAGGCTGCATAGGACATGGAGGGGTCATCGTTGTTTCCCACCTTCCACCCTCCCTAAGGCCTGGGTACTGCCAAAGCCAGTGTGTGAATGGAACTGTGGTTCCCTTGCTCCTGGGATCAATGGTGGGTTGGGGAAGTGACTTTCTTACATGCTTCTTCAGGGCTTGGAAAAGCTCCAGACTGGGGAGCTGGGGAGACATTGTGGGCAATATTGAGTGCCATGTGTGGGACACGTGTGCTTCTCACTGTGCTTGACCTCCATCTAGCGTGGCTGCCCCATTACCTGTAGAAGAATATCACTTCAGGCACCACGACATTCTCAGTAGGGAAGTAGTCAGGAGGGGAGGTGATGCGGTCCAGGGTCGTCTCAGTTGTCACTCCTGAAATGGCATTCATCCCAATAAGAAAGCAGCACAGAGAGCAGCTACTGCTCTGCTCCCAAATGCACTTGGTTACAGGCTGTCCAGAAAGCAGCTCCCAACAGCTCCAGAGAGGTGTAGTTGGCAAGCAGAAAGCTGATATTTCATGTTGCCTCCCCTGTGCACTCCCCTAAATTTGGACTTCTGCATGATCACCAGGAACAGATGCTGTGCAGTTTAAACTTTACCTATGGTTAAACTAAACCTTTGCAAGTGCAACTGGTAGCTCAGGGATTACTGGTCAGTGCTACAGTTTGCACCTAGTTAAGATTTCTAATGCTCCAGCATTAGTAGAAATAGGCTCTAGCACCCTCTCCCGTAGCTGAGATGGCCCTGTAGGCTACTGGGAGTAGAGTGCTAAGCTGGTTTCTTGAGGCTATTGGGAATGAATAATATAACCAGCTGTTTAGTCACCGATGTCAGCGACTGACAAGGATGCACAGGGGTAGTTGGTTTCTGGAACCTTGTTCACTCCATCCCAAGCCCTGGACCTCATTCTGATGGACAAAGAAGAGTTAATTATGGATCTAATCATTAGTGATTGCTTAGACACTGATGACTGTGATCTTGGTACATTTGCTTTGTGCAAATAGAAGAGGACACTGACTAATACCGTGTTTGCATGGACTTTTAAAAGGGAAAGCTCCCCAGAAGTTAAAGCAACTGTCACCATAACTATATGGGGAATGTTACTTAGGAGTGGGAATTGCGAGTAAAAACTAGGAATTACTCAAAGATAATCATACCAGCCTCCCAAAAAAGCCATGATCTCACAGAAATGAAAATTAGTTAGGCTGGGCAAAAAAACCCCATCCTGATTAAAAGGAAATGTAAAAAGAGGCTGTACAACTTCAAATATCAATATCTAAATAATGGAAAAAAGAAGAAATAAATGACAATGAATATATGAGAGAAGTTAAAAGGGTAAACAATTCAAAAAACAAGTGAATGGAAGCAAAATATCCATAGTCAATAGGAATAAAGATATTTTAAACTTATTAGAAACAAAAAGGCCCTTAAGTCAGGCATTTCTCCATTTTTGGATACACATGATAAATTTATCAGCTGCCTTTTTATATTGCTGAAACAGCCAATAGCTATTTCTGTTCTGTATCTAGAACAAGCAGGAGGATATATTTATCCTAAATGGTGCTGTAAATGCAATAGAAAGTTTACCTCCTGTAACAATGGAAATGGGAGGAAACACCTGCTAAGGTAAAATATTTTCAAATCACCAGGTATGAGTAAAATAAAACTAAACTAAGAGCCTTAAAGCTGACCTGCTAATATTAGTTCATCCAACAAATCTTTTCAAACTGGGCAGTCCTCCTTTGAAAATTATTTGGAATTTCCCTATCTAATTCCAATATTTAAAGAGAAAAAAAGATATGAGCCTGGAAACTACAGACAGATTTGTTTGATATCAGTCCCAGACAAAAATATTACAATGGTTCATTAGGGTCTTGTATCACCGAAAAAAGATCAGAGCATTAACAAGTTAATTAATGCTGGTCACATGGTTTCAGGGAAGTAATTTTTGTCAAACCCATTATCATTTATTGAAAAAATGACTAATCTTGTTGATAAATGCAATTGTGCTCATATGGTATGCTTGGGTTCACAAAGGCATTTGAATTGACTGCATGTGACATTTTAATTAAAAAAAAAAACTTTGCTTTACATGGACACATATCTGATGGGTTAAAAATCAGCTCACTGGCAGATCTCCAAATGTTGCTATTAATGGGAAGACACCAGTGAGCAGGACCATTTTTAGTGGAATAAAGTCTTGTATCTGTCTTGGGAAGTAGTGACTCAAAAAAGGACTTGGGGTTGTGGTGGATAATCACACTGTAACTAAAATGAGTGATGCAATCATTGGATATATAAAAGGGGAACATCAAGTAGACATATAAAAATGATCTTGCTTTTGGGCACAGCCTGAGCAAGAAAATGACTCATGCAACGCGTCTGCCCAATGCTGGTGTCCACAGCTGGAAAAGGTCATGGAAATATTGGAAAAGCTTCAAAAGGGGATCACAGAAACAAGCCAGGAGCTGGAAAGCATGCCTTATCACAGACCTGTCCAACTTCTGAGTGGCCAGGGGCTGCAGTGGTAGGGCACTGGCAGTTTCCTCGTCTCCCCCGCTCTTACTAATGACACATGATAGGGTGTTCTTGGTGTATCTGGTTTTGTGACTGGCAGCTGTGTGCGAGTGCTTGAAGTAGAGATTTGAGGATTCCTTGAAGATCATTTGTAAATGCAGAAGACTTGATTCAAGAGCCCATCCAGCCCTATGTTCCTGGTGAAGGAGTTCCCTTGCCTTCATAAAACAGTAAGGGAGCCCTTGCAAACTGGGGCTGTATGGTCCACATGTGCAGCCACTGTTCCAGCTGTTCAGAGGGAGTAGTGTCCACACCACTCTGTGGGCTGCAGCAGTAACCTACCCTGTGGGCCTCTATGTAGACTGATATAGCTATGGGCTGAAATGCCTAGTCCCTGAGTGAGATGGGCTCTTTGCCCCCCGTCATGCTCATGCAGTAGTGTAGGACTGAACACTTCCCTGACTGCACGGCAAGAAGATATTCCTATACCCAAAATATGCAACCCGCTACCACCACAAACAGAAGTGACCAGCATGAGGCAAAGGCTCCGGTGACAAACAGGGTGCCAAGGGCTCTGTCTTCCCTTGCCTCGTACTGAGTGGAGTGACTGACCTATCTGCCAAGTGCGTTTAAGACTTTCCTGTTACACACCAGCATAGCTTACACCCACTCTGCCCAGAAGCCAGTGGCTCAATGTACAGGCTAGAATAGGATCAGGTTTGTAAAACAAACACCCACCGCCCTGACCCTCATGTCAGGCAGCACTTACCAACAAAGCGGTCAGCCAGGCTCACAGGCTGGGAGGACACTACTGTTTTATAGCCCATGACGTCAGAGGGCACAACGATGGACTGGCAGGCGTAGGAGGTGACAGATTTAGAAAACTCGACCTCCCCATCTGGGACCCGGATGTCGGTGACGTTGTCTGTGCAGAAAGCCATCTTCCTTCCCTTGGGTGGAGGAGCAGAGCACAGTGAGCGCCAGGACCAAGGCCATCAGTCTGCTTTATGTAGGAAGGGATCAAGGGAATTCTAACACCTAAAAACAGCAGCGGGGGCTGGCCTGAGCCGTGCACAGAGCTCCAAGCAAGCTTCTCCACATACCATATTTTCTCACATAGAAGACTTCCTAGAATATAATACACACCTTGTTTTTGAAAGGCAGAATTAATTAAAAAGATCTTTCCTTGTGCTAAGTAACTGAATAGGAGCAGCTAGGGAGCAGAGCCCACTCATTGTTCCACTCCCTGAACAATGAGCAGATTGTACTTTCACGTTTGCCTGTAACCAGCAGAAACTGTTCTTACCATATTTCTTGCATGAAACGTGCACTGAAGTTCCCAACAGCTGGGTTTTGGGGAAAAGGTACCTGTTGTATGCATGGAAATATGGTAGCATTTGCAGTCTACAGATGTAACATGCCCTTCAAAGTACAGGTTTCCCTCGCTTTCTGCTGTACATGCGTACCTGGAAAATGGCGCATATCTCAAATTCGCATAAAGGGAACCCACTTTGCAACGTAACAAACAGGGATATGGTCCAAGACCTCAGCTGTACTGACCCCCAGACCCATTTCTACCACTTTTACAAGACAATTTTGGCACTCACCAACAGCAGACAGTACACACAAGCACCAGGCACTATCATAATGGGGATGGCAACTACAGAAACACATGTCGCAGACAACGAGTGAGGAGCACAGCTCCACACAGGAAACTAGATTTTGGTGTGCATCACACCCACGATGCACTGCACAAAGCAGCTGACTGCGGGCTTCCACCACACCAATCGTATAAGAGTGAATTTACCTCGCATATAATGAATTTTTGGTATAAAAAGGGTCATTGCATAAGAGCGAATTTGCACATACAGAACCCACATAAAGCGAGAGAAACCTGTATCTGTTCTTCAGAATAGGTAGGGTGCTGTCTACACAGCAAATGGTCTGTGCCAGTTGGCACCGGCTTCAAACGCTTGTCCTTAAATGCAAGCAGTTTAGTGGTGTCTGGGCAGCACTTCAGGCAGACTAAGTAGCACTGCTAGGCTCAGGGCCAATTAACTCACCCCTGTGCTAATAATTAGCCCATCAGCACCACTGTGAACTCAGCTATTCAGCTGCAGCTTAAGAGATGGCCTTTGGGAGCAGTGCAGTGTGCCTGAGGGTGGTACAATCGGGCACAGTAAGCTTACAATGCAGGCATGACCTGTAAGTGTCAAACGACATGTTTAAGTACAGCACCTGCAGATAGGAGCTTGCTTGTTAGCCAGCCCCCGCCAGTCATAACTACTGACCTTGCCGATATTCCCATTTTTTGCTGGCAGTGCTAATAAGTCAAGCAGCCAGACTGAGTGCTGGCATTTAAGTCACAACCTTCACCCTCTCAAACTGGGGAGGAATCAGCAGAAGAAAGAAAATCCTCAATCTTGTAGGTATGCACTTACATGGTTCCCACAAAGGCTGATGTTGAAGTGATGGAAATATTTCAGTCCCTTAGAAGTGAAGCTTGGCCCACTAGTGAAGGATGTGCTGTTAGCTAGGGTTGAGAAGTCATACTCCAGAGTCCTGCCATCCTTGTTCACTGAGAAGTGACAGTCATTATAGCACAGAGAGTGTATCTGAGGAAGAGGAACATTAGGCAGTCAGTTAACCATGATCGTGCTGGAGCATGATAAACAGCTACATGGAGCATGTTGGGATGCCGAGAGGACAAAAGCGCTCCTCCAGCACTAGCTGTTCTAGTACTAATGTCTGAACGGAACTGTTCAGACATTACACGTGGTACTACAAAATGTACCGCTACAGCAGTTATTACCAAAGGGCATGGCACAAGACC